ATCGGATATAAAAGCTAATTCATACCTTTAAACGCGAGGTTGTACAATTTTTTTTGTGGCAAAAACCTTGCCGTAAATCACTTTACCGCTGGGAGCCCTTTCCTGCGGTTCAACGTGAACTACCAAACTGCAAACGTGACCGCAAGGTCGTACCACGTGACATTTTGCGGTTTGCAGTTTCCCATGAAAAAAACGTGGATGCTAAAGGTCTATATTACCTATAAATATCACAGGTCACAAACAACGCCCACAATCGGGTTTTTTGGGGTTTTTTGTTACCCGCTTATCATATCGAGACTTTAATTTTACGCACATGCAGAAAAGCTTTAAGCTCAAAACTTTTCGAATTTTTTCGTTATAATCCTTCGTGATTTGCTCTTTAGTGTGTTTGGGTTTTCTTATGTCTTGCAATGCCGTGACATCTTCATTCATAAATTTACCAAACCTTGGAGACGTGCGGAATGTTGCCATGACAACTTTGTAATTCCACATGTAAAATTATAAATTAGTATAGGTAATAACATGATCAGTTCTTGATATTTGGCATAAATACCACGAGAGCGACATTTCAAAATTGTTATACGTAATCTCAATGAGCCGTTAGGGCGAGTGAAATTTGAGACAATTTGAAATAGCACGAGTGGTATTTATGCCAAATATCACGTACAAATCATGCTATTATTTTTTATACTACTACCCGCAAACGGTTTGTAATTTCACATGGTAGGTATTTCAAATTAAGCTGAAATACCACTGCTCTAAGCCAATCAAATTGCAGTAATTTCTCATGTAGTAGTATAAAGGCTGAAATTTCGAGCAAAAATTAAGGACTAATTGTCACCCATGATATAAAAGAAAACATCAATATCATTATGATTGGTTAAACATCCAAAGCAAATTGACTTTTAATTAATATAGATTACCGTTCAATCTTCTTGACTTAAGAATTACTTACAAATCAATACAACAGGCTGCCATTATTTCTGTCTTCTAATAATAAGACAGCTTCAAAAATATAGAGATAAATTTGTTGGTCTTGCGTTTTCATTTATGTCGGTTTTTGTCCACTGCGCATTAGTTTCCTGCAATTGGTAACTATAATCGTTTCTCCAAGTCAAGACCAAGTTCGCTTGCCGAGGATCATTAACAAATAGAGGAACTTTATAAACAGGAGAAACTCATCAGCCTTTTTATCAGAGTATCGATCCCGGAAAGTTTACAAATACCCAGTTTTATACCCACCTGACTTTTTGGTGTAAATGTCATCCTGATGCACATCCCTTGCCATTCCAAAATCTGTCACCTTACATTTTTCTCCTTCACCAACTAGAACATTTCTTGCCGCCAAGTCACGATGGATTACCTACAAGAAAAGATGAGACTTGTTATTCCATTATCAGACTAAGTTGAAAGCTTAATAAATGCTTAAAAAAATTGGCCTAGGATGCTGGGGTACGTTTGCAGGCAGAAACATTTGTCAAACCTTTAGGTGATTTATGAAGAGACCCTGTGTCTGTGTTTGACAATGGTAGAATATGGATTGAAATATCAGATAAGAAACTGAACATGATATTCACAGTATGAATGAATGAACAACCTAAACGGTAGAAAAGTACCGGCCTGATTAGCTCAGAGGATAGCAGAGCGTTGCGTCCGGTCATCGCAAAGATCAGGGGTTCCTTTTCAACCGCTTAGGTTGTTCATTCTACTGCGAAGATCATGTTCTCTTTCACACTAATAATATAACAAAGCAAAACAGACGATCGAACCTTTTTGAAGACAAGTAACACATTCCATCTGCGACTTGCCAGGCAAATTTCATCAACTGATCCGCTGATAGAGTGGTCTGTGGCTTGCTATCCGGGTCCTTGAAGTACGTATCGTTTAGTCCTCGACTCTTCCTCAAATAGCTCCAGCAGGTCACCATACGGTACATACTCAATAAGGACCAACAGGGATCTGCGGGCAATGAAACCCCAGCTAAGGTAAACTTCTCAGCCTTATGAAGATGTTTATTTAGTATTATAAAATAACTGAGATAGTACGCGTGATCTGATTGGTCAAATACCTATGGTTTATTATGCCGGTAAACCCATAGAAAAGGCATCCGGACCACGAGCCATACACAAAACCGGCTTAATTGATCTGCAAACAACGATTTTAGAAAGGCTAAAAAACAGAACAAAAGTTACTTGCCCAGCCCTTCTTAATATTAAAAGCGTTGGTTTCACATTTTATTACTGAGCGTCACAATTCGCTACTTCCATAGCTTTAGAAGGTATAAAGTACACAGCTGAAAACAGTTTACATTTCACGACGATGCCAAATCGAAGAGAAAGACAACAACTGTGTGAATTTCTGGTAGAAAGTCTCCAGGAAAACTTAACCATGTGCCAACCAGCAACAAAACGGATAGTTTTAGTATTCTTGATTTATTTTATGTCAAAAATTAAATTCCTTAATGAAAGAAATTGTTCCAAAAGAGGTCTCTGATCAAGATATGGGAGAAAATCGGCCGCCGTAGGTTGTAAAACAAGCTGCCAACGATGGTGAAAGATGTCAGAGTTTCGGGCTGGTTTATTCCAACATTTGCACAAATTATTCGGTGATGTCGATGCCATAACCTACCTCAAACCACCTGACTTCACGAATCGATAAATATTAACGCCAATATGTGGCTACGGCAAAAGAAACCTTTCTCCACGAATGACATATTTCCATCGGTCGCTGTACGTGCATATAAAGTTACATGGAACAACTTCGCAAATGCAGCCACGTCGTTACCGCAGCATTTCCTGATCATAATAACGTCCACAAAACAGATCTTAAACCACTGCGGCTTGTAAAAAGTGAATGAAGTCCTCCATTACAATAGCTGTCAGTTCTGTCTGTAACAACGAAATTTTACGGATCGACTCAACAAAATACAGCTGCGTACAGTCTGATGTTCAATTAATTTCTACTTCTGTAGTAAACAAACCATGAAAGCATTCTTTCATTGTACGTTCGCATGAATATGTGTTGACTTTTCCTGTAAAACAGCTTTCATAAGTTATCATGTAATGACTGCAAAAACTCGTGTTTTTGAAGTGCTGCTGTTTGTTGTTTTGAGAAAGTTCAACGCTATTGATTCGTGAGTCATGATTGGCTTATGGTGACTTTAGAGAAAGACGTGACTTGATCACGGTACTAGAACCATAAATTTTTCCTAGAAGACTCCATTATACTAAAAGTTATTTTATAAAAAGCAATAGACCACACTTTCTATGGTTTTACCCAAGAGATAACCCACTTGGGATGTTGGGAGAACACGAGAAAGCTTGTAAATCACGAGCCGAAGGCGAGTGATTTACAAGCTTTTCGAGTGGTCTATTGCTTAAAAGTACAGGGATATATGAGCGTTTATATTTCATGATAGGAAAAGAAAAAAGAACCTAACAAACAAAACAAGTTATCAGCTCTGGTCGGGAACATTTTATGTTGCGATATAGATACGATATTATTCACCACTTTATAAAAGAGGAGGATACTGGGCGGCCGAGTTAGCTTTCGCAAAGACCTTTGGGAATGTCATTAGAATAGGCAAAAATTGCTGACCGGCGCGGCTTCAGTCTCTTTCTCGTTTCCAAAGAGCCGAACGGTAGTTGGAATCACATGGCTGTAATTATTTAAACCCCTCACTATTTATTAGCCCTACTGCAGCGGAGCACCATGGGTAAGAAAATGAGGTAATCTGCCCATCCGAGAAATTTTGGTAATCACGCGACCGTACGCCCGCACGCTCGACCGACCGTCCGTCCGTACCACAGGCATACCAATGTAAAATAACTCAATCAACAGGAATGCCAACCCAAATACAACTCGAGGTTATTTTGGCGGAAAATGGCATAGCCACCCGCGCCCGCGTCTTGTAAGGCAGATGCAAACAAATAGTCAATAAAGAGGAAACCAGAAAGAGGAATGTATCCTTGTTGTCTAGAATATTAGAATAATGTCATGTCTACAGATTTGGAATAGAGGGCCAGAGAAAGACAGAGAAAAAGAGAAATCAGGCGGTAGGCCAGCGAAGCTCAAAGAGAAAAAGATCGACAGAGAT